GTGTTTCAGCATTCTCTGCTTCTTTACTAAACTTTGCAGTTAGTAAAAGAAAAATATGCAATATGCATGTAGATCTGTTAGATGCTTATAAACTACAATTTAACACCATTACCTTGATTCCTTGGAAATTTTCTTTAGAAGACATGTTAATTACTTTTAAAAGATATTCTAAAGGTGAACTTATGAAACGGCAAGACTCTTCGGTACCTTTCGAATCCTTCTGCCCGAGGTGCGAACGTATCCCCCTTCTGCCTACGCAAACGACAATGCGATATCACCACTGTTAGTGGTGCGATATCACCCAACTACCAATGCGATATCACCACTGTTGCTTTAGCCATTATGGACTCATTGTTGCAACGCTCTCTGCCCGTTTCTACTATTCAGTCTTTCTGGCATGGGGTACCCCATCAGGCGAAAGTTTCGACCCTTCAGCCAATAGTGTCTTCGAAGGTTGTTGAGAAACGCATTTTAAGTAGATATTTGAAGCGATCGATGATTGTTCGTTTTTCCCCATGATTCATATGCCTTTCTGAAATTGTCTTATATCAGTCACGATTGAAGTCTGAATAAACTTCTCTTAAATGCTTATTCTCTTAAGCAGGAAATTCGCCCTATTCTATTTCGTTGCAACCAGCTGCGAAACGGGAAAGTGTATGACATGCGAACTACAGATACAGCCTGGTGTTTTGCTGTGGTGACATCAAAGCGGAAGAAAGCTGTGACCATCTTGTCCGGTGTGAACAACTTTTAGGGTTGGAACTCGCTTTATCTCTTCTGATAGCTGTCTTTCCAGTGTAATATTCAGCACAACGTTAAGATCTTTTGTTATTATTGTTGTTGATAATGTTTATTGTTTACTGATAGGCTTTTTTCTACTTTCTGTACATGTTAGTTGTTTCTTTCAACTGATTCCTTCGTAGGCACAAAATTAAAAAATTGCGATATGACCGTAAGATGGTGATTTTTGAAGTGGTTTAGATACATTCCGTTATACCCAGCGACAAAACGGAAGTAACTGGAGTAAAAACAACTCGCTTTACTTTATATCCTCGCCGATCAGCAACAGTGCACAGATATATATTTCATTAATTTATAAATTCGACAAATTTTTTACGGGATTACACCGCTTATAAAATGTTTTATTTAAAAGTTCTCGGACATTTCGGATCATGGTCGATGCGTCTTCAGGAACTGACATTTTACAGATGCGATGTTACAGTATATATGGTGCATTAGGCACAAACTTCACTCTGGAGGTTATAGTTTCCATTGTGGACGTTGCTTGATAACTTCGTTTCAGTGCTAACTCAGTTCCATACCGACGTCTATTCATGCATTGGTTTCATTGTATTACTAATGCTTCTTTTATCTTCCTGCTTAAAGGGTTTCGCCTCCAGTGTATTCCTTTCATATAGTCCCATAATATGCGGTGTTGTCCTTGTACTGCATAATGTACAGCCGTCAGGTTCTATTCTTCTACATGC